CCTCTGCCACTTGAATCTTTCCCTCACGTGTTCATCAAGCCCTGTGCCTCGCCACAAAAAGGACGAGCACTCCACAAAGAAAATGTGACATGTGGACTTACAGGACTCCTGCAGCCTGGACAGCCTTAGCCCCTTTGTTCCCCGAGACCAGCAGCAAACTTTTCTTTTAAGCAAATCTACCATTCTTTCCAAACTGCCTCTAACAAAGAAGCATATATTATACAGAAAATTAAGGGAGGAAGGGGGTCTCTCCCTGCCCCCTGAGGCTCCCTCAACATCGACTCAAACCCTACATAACCGGCCACGGGACTAATCACCATTTCCGGAGCGTTCCCTGCCCTCCCCCTGCCGTGCTGCATGGCAGTAACTTCAAATCGCGGCCCAACACACTAATCCCTTGACCACTGTAGCTGGAAAGACACCATTCTTGCCCAAACTCGTGGTATTTATAGCCTTTTTTCCATTCACTTATAACTTAAGGTAATGAAGTATTATATACTTTGGTGAATATCAATAACACAGCCTAAGAAAAGCAAGACTTTCAACAAACAGTACTTTGTTGCTACAGAACTATTCTAAGTGAGCTATAACTCAAATTATAAAGATCCACGAGTCCACACTGACACAAATAAATAAATGAATAAATAAATGGAAGAGAAGACACAAAATCTCCTTTGCAGAAGAATTCCAAATAATCTATGTAGACACTCCAACTCTTGTTCCCGAGTGAGCACTGAGGGCAGTGACTTACTTCCAAGGCACACAGTGTGGAGGGGTGGCGGGGGGAGTCACTTCATGGTGAAGGGACCTGCCAAGCACCACTTCAGCCAGGGGACCAAGACAACATCATCAGTTATAAATCATGTTGATGGGGGATTTCCCTGGTGGCGCAGTGGGTAAGACTACGCACTCCCAATGCAGGGGGCCCAGGTTCGATCCCTGGTTGGGGAACTAGATCCCATAAGCATGCCCCAACTGAGAGTTCACATGCCACAACTAAGGAGCCCGCCTGCCGCAACTAAGACCCAGTGCGACCAAATAAATAAATAAATAATTTTAAATAAATAAATAAATAAATAAACCACGTTGACAGTACGGGCCCCCAATACCTTGTAAAGAAAATGGCAATTTTTCTTCCAAGGCCTTCCTCCCAAAACATCAGTGCAACCACCAGACAAACACCAACAGAGGGGTATCCAACAGAACACCTAACCAGTCCTCTTCAAGGTCCAAAAACAAGACAAGTGTGAGAAACCACAGAGCACAGCCAATAGGAGCCTAAGAAGACTTGACAACTGAATGCAGATAGGGCCACTTGAATAAGGTCCTGGAATAGAAAAAGGACATTTGGTAAAAAACCAAGGAAATCTGAATAAACGATGGACTTTAGTTTATAATAATGTATCCACGGTAGTTCATTAACTATAGCAAATGTACCACACGAATATAAGATGTGAATAATAAAGGAAACTGAATGTAGGATGTGTAAGAACTTTCTATACTGTCTTCTCAACTCTTTTATAAATCTGAAACTAAAAAACGTCTATTAAAAAAAATTCCTCTGGGTTGACGCCACTCTAAGTCACTATAGCAAACAAGGGAAACTCCAGGAAATAAGGTCACTGAGTGGGCTACAGGGCCTCCTAGAAAAGAACAGAACACAGTTTAGATGATGCTGGCACTTTCGCTGGCAGTCTCACATCCTCTTACTAGAAGTGAGTTTCTTAAAAGCAGTGGTTTTCACACCTTTTAGTCTCAGGACTCCTCATACTTTAAAAAATTAGTGAGCACCCAAAGACGCTTATCATTTACGTGAGTTGTACCTACCTACAATTACCACATTAGCAACTTTAGTGCATTTCAATATAACAATAACCCCATTACATGATAACATACAGAACATATTTTTAAAACGGTATTTTCCAGGGCTTCCCTGCTGGCGCAGTGGTTAAGAATCCACCTGTCAATGCAGGGGACACGGGTTCGAGTCCTGGTCCGGGAGGATCCACATGCCATGGAGCAACTAAGCCCATGCGCCACAACTACTGAGCCTGCACTCTAGAGCCTGCAAGCCACAACTACTGAGCCCACGGTGGTGCCCAAGAGCCCACACGCCGCAACTACTGAGCCCTCGTGCTGCAACTACTGAAGCCCGCATGCCTAGAGCCCGTGCTCTGCAACAAGAGAAGCCACCGCAATCAGAAGCCTGCACACTGCAACAAAGAGTAGCCCCCACTCACCGCAACTAGAGAAAGCCCGCGCACAGCAACAAGATCCGACGCAGCCAAAAAATTTAAAAAAATTTTTTAATGGTATTTTCCAAAACAGAAGTTAGAGAAAAGAGTGGCACTGTTTTTACATTTTTGCATATGTTTTTAGTGCCCAGCTTAAGAGAAGAGAGCCAAATCTCAGAGCTCTGTCTGCATCCAGCCTGGTGTGACAGCCTCACAAAGATGAGTGCTGAAAAGGGGCGGAACATGTAACAGCTTTTCCAGATAATCAAGGTCCCAGGAGTTGCCATGTTCATGCTGGAAACAAGGTTTCCAAAATCGGGATTTCACTTGAAAGCAAGAATTTTATCTTCAGCAATACATATGTCAGCTGTTTTCCTTGAAGTCACAGCTCATAGCATGCATTTTTGAGAAAATGACAAATCCCCAAGTCTGAGTAACATGAGTTGGTCCATCAGCTGCTCGTTCAAGCACAAACGAAAGAAGCAGCGGTGGAGCTCACAACACAATCACAAAAGTGCTCCTGGTCAGACAGCAGCACACTGCAGGGGCAGAAGGACTTCATCCTACTTCCCATTTCATCACACAGACTGTGAGAGAGACGGACTCAAGGGTCTACAGTAATGAAATTAATCATTTTTCCTGTGCCATCAAGGATGTTCTTAGTAGGGACTTCCCTGGTGGTCCAGTGGGTAAGACTCTGTGCCCCCAATGCAGGGGGCCCAGGTTCAATCCCTGGTCAGGGAACTAGATCCCCTATGCATGCCACAACTAAGAGCATGCTGCAACCAGAAGATCCTGCGTGCCGCAATGAAGATGATAAATAAAAATAAATATTAAAAAAAAAAATAGTACTCTTAAAAAAAAAAAGATGTTCTTAGTGAACTGCCTGCTTTCTTTTTTGACTCAGTGCCTTGCAGTGAAGAATAAGGCTAGGACCGGCTGGTGCCGAAGCCGAGATTCTCAGCCACAGTCTCACCACTGACTTTGCATCATCAGTGCAAATGTCAACATAGTGCAAGACAGATAACTATTATGAAAACAGTTTTGACTTTGCAGACCCCCTGAGAACCACGGAGAGCCACTGCTTAGAGGCACGGATTTGCTACACACAGTGAGCCTCATGAAAAGCCTTACACGGGGCCTGGCACGTAGTCAACACTGGAGAACCAGGGTGGGGAGCCACAAGGCTTGCGTGTATATACGCGTCTGGGGACTGGGAAGCAAAGACAGCGCTTACCTGTGTGAGATAGAAGACGTGCGTGTGAGGGACTGTGAACAGAGCGTTGACTGCACCTCGGAAGGTATAGATCTGTTGGTGTGGGTCCCCCACGAAGATTTTCCCACATGGCTGAGACAGAACTATGTTCATGATCGCTGCGAGCAAGAAGATGGAAAGTAAGGGCTCTGAAGCGACACCAACCCACAGAGCAAAAAGAAACCAAACTTAAGACAGAAAAGGATGAAAATGCTTGCACACTGGACAACAGAGTTATCTTTCCCTCCAGCATAGGTGCACTCAGTCCAAAGAAATGATTTTATAACAAACAAAAGAAACAGCTTCTAACCCTACGAACGCAGATTATTTTTACTCCTGAATAAATTATTGAGTATAAGAAACCACATAGGCAAATATAAAATGAGGCAAGTTATCTTCTCTGATATTATAATTTAAGGCCCCAAAATGACAAAGTCACACTATTTTCTATCAGCCACTGGAAAAATGCACAACACAAATTGTTCACTCTAAATTGACTACCTTTTCCCCCTCCACATGAGTCTCAACCCAATCATCTGGTGACCTAGGCTCAGCCAATATTTTAAGAATAACGCAAGCAGGGCTTCCCTGGTGGCGCAGTGCTTGAGAGTCCGCCTGCTGATGCAGGAGACGCGGGTTCGTGCCCCGTTTCGGGAAGATCCCACATGCTGCGGAGCGGCTGGGCCCGTGAGCCATGGCCACTGAGCCTGCGCGTCCGGAGCCTGTGCTCCGCAAATGGGAGAGGCCACAACAGTGAGAGGCCCGCATAACGCAAGGAAAAAAAAAAAAGAAAAGAAAAAAAAAGACCAGCTGAAAGAAGCCCTCTCTAGTCTTCAAAGACATGCATTTTAAAAGAGATGGGACAGTTCCGCAAGCAAAATTTAGAGAAAATTAAGTCTCCTTTGGGTGAGGGGTGGGGGTGGAGAGACAAGTGCTGAAATCCACAGTCAGACAGCAAAGGGTTTCTGAATGACTAAGCGTCACACGCTCCTCCTCATGACAGACAAGAATCATTGACTCATGCACACACATGTCCTCTTACATATTCACAACACTGTTGCTATGTGTTTGGGACTACTGGTATCCTGAATGGTTTATCACCTGGGGTACAGTCCTGGGCCTCGTCCACAAAGATGGCGTCAAAAGAGGCCAGCAGAGGCTTGCTGAGCTGCCAGAGTTTCAAGTAGCCTACAAGAAGGGGCAGAAGAGTCACAAATTGGAATGAGCCGGGTCCACGGCGGGGCTCAGGACTGGGCGCATGCGTACCATCATGTGTCATATGGTAAGCCTCCTCCTTGCACTCGCCCAGCTTCCGCATGTTGTCCCAAAGTCGGCTCGCTTCGAGGACACCGTTCTAGAAAGCAAGTGACATGGTGATGTGAAGGTCATGACCCTGAAATCAGGAGTTCATGTCCATGTGCAGGGGTCAAAGCAAAGGCCCCAGCTCACGGTGAACGGCAGCCCCTCCCTGACCTCCCTTGGCTCCACGAGGGCCTCGTGTCAACATCAGGCGCCCAGATGGGCAAAAGCCAGGGGCTGGACCACACCCAGAGGTAGAGCATCGCTCAGGGAGCACAGCATCTGATGAACCAAGAAAGGCTGGATGATTCCTCTAGATTTATGACCGACAGTTAATTCATAAAAAGTGTGGTCAACGACTGAAAAGACTTGATAAAAATTAGAAAAGAGAATCACATCTTTAGACCCTGGACCAGCAGACCCCACGACAAGCTCTTATAAACCCTGGGCAGGAGCCCCAACTGTGAAATGGAGGACCAGGCTGAGGACTAAGCAAGATGAGTGCTCTTCACAGAAAACCCTGTACACTTCGCAGCCAGCACAACTGGCCTAGGGTCTCCCCTCCACCTCTACCTCCTGCCAGCAGCTCTAAAGACATCAAAGACCAGTACAAGCTGGCACCGTGTCGAGTCCTTGTTCCTCCCAAGCCCTAACTCCAAAGGGACTGAGACACTCACCAGCTTCTCGCTCTGCTCGACCATGACTCTCTGTCCCTGGCTGTTCTTACACCAGATGGGCACGTGGTCGATCGTCAGCTCGTCATCAGCCGAGGCAAAAAAGTTTTCCAGAGTCTTACATACTAGCTTGGCCCTTATGAAGCCACCCTTCCCTTCAGCGAGGACAGAGTTGACCATGAAGGGGGTTAACTTGAAGAGATTCAACTTCTTCTTCAATTGGTACCTGCAACGCATGTCCCAAAGGCACAGGGTTGGCTTTCGTGGCAATTCGCGATTTAGTGTCTCCCCCAGGCCTGCCCCCTTCTCTCCAATGACACCACCAGGTCACTGCAAGTGGCACATACAGGTGACGAAAAAGAGCCTGAGGAGCTGAGTGAGGTCCTCATAGGATTGGAAAGGGCTCCGTTACGCTTTCCAGAATAACCCAGGAGACGAAGTGGCTCACAGCAGATACCACTGTTCCAAGGTGTGGGCCAGACTCCGGGAGGCCTTGGGGGGGAGACCCTCGAAGCTCCCTGAAGCTTTCTCGTCCAAAGGGACACGGCTCAGAGGCCCTGGGTGCCTGGAACAAGTGCCCCTCAGCCCCGTCTTCTCCCCTCCAGCTTCTGAGGAAAGCCTGAATGGGTCAACCAGACTGGTGATGCCCTAAACTTTAGGTAAGTCACTCTGACCTTCTGTGCCTCAGTTCCAGAGACATGAGAATGCCTCCCTCAGTGAGACAGCGTTAAGTTTCCCTCAGTAGCAATATATCTCTATGGGGTGAAGTAAAAATTACTCAATCTATGGCCATATTCCCCGCCTGTAAGTGAAGATAAAGCACTAAGTTTTCTCCGAGTCACTGTGGTGTACTGACTGCAACGTGAGAGCAGTAACTGGACGTAATGGCAACAGTGGCACCACGATGCTCACTTGCGCCCGATGTGTCCGTAGGCCATGGAGTGGAAGGTCTTGCAGATAACATTGCTGGGGAAGACGAGCTCAGCCTGCTTGGCGATGCTCTTGTTGAAGGTCACATACAGAAACCTGCTCTCAGACCACTTCTCAGCGTACTTGACCAGGGTGGAGGTCTTCCCAGTGCCTGAGGAAGCCAAGAGCAAGGGAGATGACCCTCTGACCAGGAATAACGGTTCCCACTGATGCTATAATTGGGTCAGACCCATGCCTATCTCCCCGCTTGTCTGGGACCAGACAGTGGCAAGCTCTCCAGTACTGATGAAAACTAAAAACGGTGCCGTGAAGAGAGCAGAAGACTCAAGACAGAGCCACCTGGGTTGGGATCGCAGACCCTGCAGCTCTAGAGGGGCCACTTCAGTCTGCTCCTCAGCCTGTGTGGGTAACACTGACCTCATAGGGTGTGCAGGATAATTACCCAGGTACCCAGCAGAGGAACTCATAAACGGTAGCTATGCTGGCCTAGGCACCATTCATGCTTCGACAGCAAGAGCATGGAAATGAGATTCAAGGATCCTTCCAACCCGTTCTGAATTATCCTATCTGCCCCTCCTCCCCGCCTTTCATTCAGTTATTCAGTTAGTCAACTGTCACCCACTGAACAAGTATTTCCTGAGCACCTACTGCACATTCAGCCCTACACTAGGCATGTCACAAACACAAAGCAAGGTTCCTGCATTATAATCTAGTTGGGAATAAAACACCAACACAGCTGGAACAATTGGAACAAAAAATAAGAGAATAATCATAACACAGTAGAGTGAAAAAGAATATGGTTCCGGAAACAAAAAAGAAAATCTCACCTATAAAAGAAGAAAAATAGCACCTCCTTTCCCACCTACCAGGGCTGTTTGAAGATCAACAGATCAATGACATAGTGTGGAGGTGTTTACAGAAGGTGTGTGTTGGCTATTCTTCCTATGTAATCAGGCACCAAACAGTTAATACAGATTAGTCACAGTGAGAGTTCAGAATCATGGAGGTCTCAAAGGGCTGAGGAAGCCTCCACCGAGAAGACACAGAAGTGACAGGGGTCAACATCGGATGGCAGAGAGATAGAGGAAGTAGGGGGTGGGGAGGGTAGGGGAAAAGGCACGTTTCTGGAGAGAAATAGATCCAGCTTTGAATTCTACCTCCACCACGTATTTGCTCATTTAATCTGGACCACATCATTTTAATTTCCCTGAGCTTTAAAACCTCATACATAAAATGAACCAGAAATTCCCTGGCCATCCACACTTCCACAGCAGGGGGCATGGGTTCAATCCCTGGGGAATTAGGATCCTGCATGCCACGCAGTGCAGCCAAAAAATAAATAAATAAACCAACCTCACAGAATGTTAGGATTAGCACAGGGCAGACATTTGATAAAGTGGCTGTTGTTTTTAGTAGGATATTTAGGCAGAAAAGAAGCGGGAAGGCATTCCAGGTAGAGAAAATAGTATGAGCAAAGGTTCAAAGAGCAACCAAGTACTTTAAGAGCCAGGAAGCACAATTAGCTGACTGAGGAATGTATGTCAGAACCAAAAGGTAGGAGCCCCTTCTAGACTTCGCCCTATAGAAATCAAGGAGCTCCTGACACTGTCTGAACAAGGGATTCACATGACCTACCGCCCCATAAGCAATCAGTGTCTGAGCAGATATGATGATACATAATAGGCTGGATCAATCCCAGTGGCATCTACCCCACAAACAAACTCCTATGGACCATCTGTTCACCAGGAAGTCCAGTGTGGATGCCCCCCTGGAGTGGTAAGAAAAAGCAATTATTCCTTGGCAACTGCTTTTTAGATGATTTAATTGCAGCAGTTCAATAACAGATTAAGGTAAAGATATTCTGGCAGGTGGCGGGTAAGGTGGTAAGAGGCGTTCCAGGAATGGCAGCCCCCTTACCTGCAAATGCCATAATTTTTACCACCTGGAGAGGTTCCATCTTATGGCTTAGGATCAGCTGTTGTTCATGTGTCAGGTGGATGGTTGTTTTCTTGCTATAATCATTACAGAAGAGAAATCAGGAAAAGAATAAGGAATTGAAAAGATCAGGTGACAGACTGTCAAAAATGAAACAGGAAACCAAATGGGATGAATAAAATTTAACCAGAAAAAAGGGGAGGGCCGCCCCCTCTTAGGGTGATTATTCTAAAACTAGGTTATGATGTTAGTTGCACACTCAGTAAATCTACTAAAAATTACTGAATTATATAATTAAAATGGGTGAATTTTATGTAATGTAAATTATAACTCAATAAAGTGGTTAAAACAAAACACCTTTTCCTCTTCAAGTACGAGAGTCAGGAATCAAAGACATCCACACACACACACCCTTACAGACATACCCTGGCCAGACCGATGGTTCCTCTTTGACTTCTGTGGCCTGAGCACAGGAATTCTCCTGAAGATACAGGCAATAGAAAATGTTGTAGTGAATCCTAACAGGAAGAAAGCAGATTAGAGATTTTCAAATTCAGGCACAATCTGTATCTTATTTTTCCTCAGTTGTTTTTTAGACTCCTAACCATTGCTAAAAATAAAACATGTACCACCATTTTATGAAAAAAAGGAAAGAAAAGGGTTTAAATATACCTAGAGCTGAGCTATATTTACCTGCACTGCTGGAGGTAAATATTTGGAGAGCACGGTTCTGGGAGAGATGCCTGGCTGCGGTGGGCAGAGGCAAAGGAGAGAGACCAGGATGTGCTCTTTGGGGAACAAAATGTAGCCACATATAAACACAGAAGACTCCGTCCACTCCAGGCTCAACAGTCCTGAAGGTAGACACTATCTCGGGGATGGTGTACGACCCCATGGCAGCTCACGTTCACAGAGCCCGCTTGCCTGCATCACTGCATTCAAACCTCACGGAGAACCTGGCGGAGCAGTGGGTGATGGGGCTCGCCTAGTGGTAACGCGGGGAAGGGGCAGGGCGGGGGCCAGTTACCGGTTGCTGATGTTGATCCCTTTCTCCCGCATGGCGTAGAGCAGCACGGCAATGCAGTACAGGGTCTCGGTGATGTCTGGCATGGTCACTGTGGAGCTGGGCCGCCGGAGGCAGAAGAGCAGCTGCTGGATGTCATTGACGCTGCTGGAGAGGAGGATGATGGCCGCCACCAAGGCCCACACATTGACACCCTGAGGAGGGAGGTGGACAGAACAGGAGACGAGACCCAAAACACAACCGGTAAGAATCACATGGGACAGCCGGTGAAGAAAGCCATGTTTGGGGTTCGTGTACCTTCCTCAGACCGTCTAAACGGAGCGCAAACTTCCCAAATGACATTTGGGAAACACCAGGCCTGTCTCCTTTTACCCTGGATTCCTTCTTTCTCATCATTTTTGGGTTTGAGTTCTTAAGTTTTCTTTGATTAAATAACATTTATAAAGTACTTAATGCAAGACCCCGCACAGACGTGATCCTCCCGCCTCCTCACCAGCCCAACCCACCCCCACCAGGTCAGTGTGAGCTCTGAGATCCAGACACTCAAGTCAAACAAGCTCACTATTAAATGGGTGCCCATCTGGGAGGCAGGCAGTGGTGAAAACTGGGGGATACAAAAGAAGACAGCAGTCTTTAGGGGGAAATCAAGACTGACAATTCAATGGCATTAAGAGGTTAATTTAGTATTTACTTTATATTATTATTTAATACTTATTAAATATTAAGTTAACGAAATATTAAATTATTGAAAGTTTATTATTATGGACACAGTATGCTCCATTTATTAATGTCTAAGAAAATGTTCACTAACATGAAAATATCAATAACAGACATATAGGGACTTCCCTGGTGGCTCAGTGGTCAAGACTCCACGCTCCCAATGCAGGGGGCCTGGGTTCGATCACTGATCAAGGAACTAGATCCCACATGCAGGCCTCAACTAAGAGTTCGCAAGCCACAACTAAGGAGCCGACAAGCCGCAAGTAAGGAGCCCACCTGCCGCAATTAAGACCCAGCACAACCAAATAAAAAAAAAAATAATAATAGACATATAAGTATATAACTATCATTCTTAACTTTACTGCAAGCCTCCCTGTTAAAAATGCATCCACAAAAGCAAAGTTCCACACACCTTTCACTACAACCATACTGGGAAACAAATCTCACTCCATCGACAATCGCTTCACTAAAGATGGACAGAGAAATGCATATGGCTGGATTTCCAACCCTCGACTGGCTGCAGAATGAGGCCGAGGTTGCATGTGGCTTCCAAAACAAAATTTAAGAAGAATCGCTATCCAGATGAGAAGCCACAAGACAAAGGAAACTGGAGAGTATTTCCAGCTTCTCATTAACTCACTGTGTCAGTACAAAACCCTTCTTTTCTCTGGTTCTTTCAAATAACCCAAGGTGTCAACAATACAGTGGGCTGCCTTGTAAAGAAATCCTTACTAATCAAAGTGTGTAGAGGCTAGATGAGCATCCTCTGTTGGAACTGCTCAACAGAATGGGAAATTGGATGAAATACTTTTTAAAATTCCTTCCAAATTAAAGAATCTTTAACAATGTAGCCTTTTATTTCTCTGTGGGACCAATGACAAGATTAAGGCTTCAAAGCAAAGGCTGAAGGAAGATTTTGAAAATAAATCTAAAATAACCTTCAACCAAACTTGATCACCAATACACTTTCTTCCAAAGAGAAAAGGTGTCGCCTCCCCAACCCTCCCCTCCCTGCAGCCTCTTCACGTACGGCAGGGGCAGCGTAGAGATCGGGGAGGTGTTGGCGCACGCAGGCCTCTGCCTCGGGGAGGAGGAGGTGATCCCTCAGACTCCACAACGCCCGTCCAGGGTCCACACTCGGGGAGCACTTAGTGGTGGCTGTGTAGCTGTAAGACATTCACAGCAGCGTCCATGGGAAAGGTGATCCAGTAAGTGCTGATTTCTGGGAAAGGACTTTGGAAACTGACTTCCTCCCAGGAAACGGGGACTCACCGGATGAGGTTCAGCACACACAGGTCTGACTCCTTCTCTATGCCATAGCTCGAGAGGATGCCATCCACTTTGCTGACAGCTTGCTCTTCATTCATCAGGTATCGGTGATACAGCTTTTTCCAAGGAATGAACTAGACAGTTTAAAAAATCCAAAACAACATGCAGGCAATGGCTATTAGAGAACTGATCAGGCCACAAACATATAGATAATTGCTTGAAAAACAATCACAGTCTACAATTCAAAAGCTGGGCAAATAGGGTAGAAACATTACACAAATTTTAGTTGGAAACTAGGAGAAGGGGAGGGCTCTTGGTTTTGGTTCCAACATTAACTTCTTACAGAATCTGGGAAAAGCCAGTGCTTCAATTTCCCTATTTGAAATAGTGTCCTGTCCCTGTTGGGACACTAATGGCTCAGAGCTTCAGTGAGGATTAAATAACATGAGAGTTGTGGCTACACTAAGATTAGACAAAATAGACTTTAAGTTAAAAGTTATTAGAAGAGGGACTTCCTTGGTGGTCCAGTGGTGAAGAATCCGTCTTCCAAGGCAGGGGACACAGGTTCGATCCCTGGCCGGGGAACTAAAATCCCACATGCCGCAGGGCAACTAACCCCACGTGCCACAACTACTGAGCTCACGCACCTCAACTAGAGCCTGCATGCTGCAAACTACAGAGCCCACGTGCCCTGGAGCCCACGCCACAACTAGAGAAGAGAAAACCTGCACAGCACAGCTACACAGAAGCCCATGTGCCACAACAAAGGGCCCGCGCACCACAGCAAGCGCTGCAATGAAGATCCTGCATGCCTCGATGAAGTCCCGATGCAGCCGAATAAATAACTTAAAAAAAATTATTAGAAGAGACAAAGAATATTACTTGATGATAAAAGGGTCAATTCACCAAGAAAATATAACAATTATAAATATGCATGTACCAAATATCAGAGCTCCTAAATCTAGGAAGGAAACACTGACAGAATTGAAGAGAAAAACAGATAGCAATATAATAACAGGAGACTTCTATACTCCACTTTCAAGAATGGATAGAACAAACAACACTGGACCAAAAAGGCATATACTGAACACTTCCTCCAGCAACAGTAGAATATACAATCTTCTCAAGTATACACAGAACATTCTCCAGGAAAGATCACATACAAGAACACACAAGTGTTTTAACATATTTTAAAAGACTGAAATTATAGAAAGTATGTTTTTCAATCACTATAGAAACTAGAAATCAGTAGCAGAAAGAAAACTGGAAAACCCACAAATATGTGGAAATTAAACAACACACTTAAAACAACCAATGGGTCAAAAAGGAAATCACAAAGAAATTAGAAAATACCTTGAGACAAATGAAAACAAAAACACAGCATATCAAAATGTATGGAATGAAGTGAAAGCAGGGCTAAAAGTTAAGTTGATAGTTATAAAAATTTACATTAAAGAAGAAGAAAGATCTGGATTTCCCTGGTGGTGCAGTGGTTAAGAATCCGCCTGCCAATGCAGGAGACACAGGTTTGAGCCCTGGTCCAGGAAGATCCCACAGGCCGCAGAGCAACTAAGCCCTTGTGTCACAACTACTTAGCCTGTGCTCTAGAGCCTGCGAGCCACCAACTACTGAGTCCACGTGCCTACAGCCCATGCTCTGCAACAAAAGAAGCCACCACAATGAGAAGCCCGCACACCACAACGAATAGTAGTCCCCACTCACTGCAACTAGAGAAAGCCCATATGCAGCAATGAAGACCCAACACAGCCAAAAATAAAATAATGTTTTAAAAATATTTTTAAAAAATGAAGAAAGATCACAAATCAACAACCTAACTTTACACCTAAAGGAACTATAAAAAGAACAAACTAAACCCAAAGCTAGCAGGAGGGAGGAAATAATAAAGACTAAAGAGCAGAGATAAATGAAATAGAGAATAGAAAAATAGGGGGAAAAAAACCAATAAGGGCTTCCCTGGTGGCACAGTGATTGAGAGTCCGCCTGCCGATGCAGGGGACACGGGCTTGTGCCTCAGTCCGGGAAGATCCCACATGCCGCGGAGCGGCTGGGCCCATGAGCCATGGCCGCTGAGCCTGCGCGTCCGGAGCCTGTGCTCCGCAACGGGAGAGCCCACAATAGTGAGAGGCCCGTGTACCGAAAAAAAAAAAAAAAAACCCAATAAAACTACGAGTTGTTTTTTTTTTTTTTTAAAAAAAAAAAAAAACACCTCGTGTTTTTTTTGGGTTTTTTTTTTTTTTTTAAAAAAAAAAAAAAACACCTCGTGTTTTTTTTGGGTTTTTTTTTTTTTTTTAAAAAAAAAAAAAAACACCTCGTGTTTTTTTTGGGTTTTTTTTTTTTTTTTAAAAAAAAAAAAAAACACCTCGTGTTTTTTTTGGGTTTTTTTTTTTTTTTTAAAAAAAAAAAAAAACACCTCGTGTTTTTTTTGGGTTTTTTTTTTTTTTTTAAAAAAAAAAAAAAACACCTCGTGTTTTTTTTGGGTTTTTTTTTTTTTTTTAAAAAAAAAAAAAAACACCTCGTGTTTTTTTTGGGTTTTTTTTTTTTTTTTAAAAAAAAAAAAAAACACCTCGTGTTTTTTTTGGGTTTTTTTTTTTTTTTTAAAAAAAAAAAAAAACACCTCGTGTTTTTTTTGGGTTTTTTTTTTTTTTTTAAAAAAAAAAAAAAACACCTCGTGTTTTTTTTGGGTTTTTTTTTTTTTTTTAAAAAAAAAAAAAAACACCTCGTGTTTTTTTTGGGTTTTTTTTTTTTTTTTAAAAAAAAAAAAAAACACCTCGTGTTTTTTTTGGGTTTTTTTTTTTTTTTTAAAAAAAAAAAAAAACACCTCGTGTTTTTTTTGGGTTTTTTTTTTTTTTTTAAAAAAAAAAAAAAACACCTCGTGTTTTTTTTGGGTTTTTTTTTTTTTTTTAAAAAAAAAAAAAAACACCTCGTGTTTTTTTTGGGTTTTTTTTTTTTTTTTTTTAAACAAGATCAATAAAATCGACAACCCTTAGATATATTTTGGAAAAAAGAGAAGATTCAAATAACTGAACTCAGAAATGAGACGGGAACATTACAACTGATGTCACAGAAATAAGAAGACTTATAAGAATACTATGACCAACTGCAGATCAACCAACTGGATATACTAGAAGAAATGGATAAATTCCTAGGAACACACAACCTACAAAGACTGAATGATGAAGAAACAGAAAATCTGAACAGACCAATAATTAGTAAAGATATTGAATTGGTAATCAAAAGCCTCCCAAAAAGTTAAGAGTCCAGGACCAGACTGCTTCACTGAAAAATTCTACTGAACATTTAAAGAATTAACATCAATCCCCCTCAAACTCTTCAAAAAAACTGAAGAGGAGGGAGCACTTCCAGACTTATTCTGAGGCCAGCATAACCTTATACCAAAGCCAGACAAAGACACTACAAGAAATAAAAAGAAAATGAGAGCTGTGACAAGGTCACTGAAAATAACCAAGTCACTGCTGGTGATGATAAAAACATCAAGAGGTAAGGATAAGCTGGGATATCTTCCCAAAATCTTCTCGAGCAGAATGGAGGAAAACCTCATCTATCCCCAGTTCACATCAGAGAGATAATTAAATGGGTAGAACTACTGAACCAAAACAGAGTTCACAAATAAAAACAGAAAGATATTTCTTAGAAAGTAGGAGACAAGACCCCAGGCAAAGAATGGAGCAAGAGCGATATGAAATTTCCTCCAAAATCTTTTGGGCTTCGAAGAGAAATGTACTAAGTTTTGATATATCCACCTTTCCCTCCATTTCCAAGGTTTTGAACTTCAATGCATTTGAAGAATAAATTAAACTCTCTACCTATGGTTTATTCCCAATGTCTGATCTAAAGGACATACAAGCTAAGGAGAACATTCTCCCAGCCCTCAGGCTTACTGGAGACCTGAACCTGGGAAGTATAATGACACAACAAAGGGAAGGGCAGGGCACAGGATAACGGTATCAGGAAATCCTTTCTGAGATCACTGGGGGCAGCCCCCGAGTCATCTTCAAAAGGTACTCTTGTGACTAAACGCAACACTCATTTACTAATCACCTACTGTACGTAGAACATCGTGAGACAGTGCCGAATGCAAAAACAAACAGGACAACCAGTCCTCTAGCAATATGCTAATAATTTACAGGGAGGAAGAAGGCTCTCTTAAGACCATAACAGAACATGATAAGCTTGAACAAAGGTATAAATCACTATAATAGCACAAGGAAGAGAGTGAGAGAGTGATTTCAATGGGATGGAATGGGAAAGCGTTAGTCTAAGAGTGCAGCCTTGAAGAGGAAAGACATCAACAGTGCTATGAGGGGCCCTTTCGGTTGGTTGGGGGAAGTGGGGTGCAGATTAGACCAACATAAGGAAAGTACTGTGCAGTCCACAGTTGGGAAGCAGAACATCATTGGTTGTGGACAGAATACAGGAATGGACTGGAATGAAGTCAGCAATGAGCCTGGAATAATAAGGTGGGACACACACAGAAGGTCCTGGTTGCCTCCGGGAGATTGGGATTTGATTCTGGAGGCAAATGGACGCCAACATTTCTGAAGAAACGCCATTGTCAGGAGTATGCATTAAGTGAAGCGAATCCATGGACTTTTTAGAGAAAACACGAGAGAACGAAAAGCGCTTTCCGTACCAGTGGATCACTAATTATCTCCCTCCAAAAGTGGCACACCAAGCTCAGATTCCAGTAGAGGTCTTCCATAGGGAGGAAAGCAAAGATGTGCCTCAGGACCTCGCTGGGCAGGCTGCAGATATGGCTCTGGGGTTCCTGGCAGGGCAAGGTCCCAAGAAGCCCATAGTAAGAGTCAGGAACAGGATCAGGACCAATGTCCTCCACCTCCTGGCTGGATTCTCCAGGCTGCACAGAGAACCACGACACACTGTCCTCTGCTTCCTGCCTGCCTTCCCTGGGCCGTGTGCACGACAGGGACAGATGATGCCGTGGGGTCTTCCTAGAAACCCCATCCCACTGACTGGTCCCTGTGGCTTGATTCCTCTCATCCTCGAAGGACCGAGACCGCTTCCCTGACGAGCGTGGCCGTGCTGCTCCATCACCTCCCTGAGGCAGGGCGCAGTGGCCTTCTGCAGCAAAAATCATCTCGTCCTCCGAGTCCTTAGAGCTGTCCTGGCCCACAGAATTGCTTTTGGCCATGTCATTGGTGCACCGCTGCTGGCCAGTGAGGAAGAATTCAGGGTTGTATCCTGGGCATCCTCGACCTGGAGAGAGAACCCAAACAAGGTGAACGAGAAATGAATAATGACTGATGACCCTTTGTTGACCCAAATAAGACAAACTAATTTTCAATTATCTATTTTAATAGAGTAAAGAGACAAGGATGTATTTTATTGGTCAACTGATTATATAAATAGATTAATCCAAAAAATATTTATATCGGGCTCTATCATACAGTCAGATACACATTTGGAAAGAGACAGACCAGTCTTTGGATGGTGTGAGGACCACATTACACCTTGCAATATATACAAACTGAATACCTGAACGGACAGGAGTACACGACTGCTCACATTCACACAACTGCTCATAAAATTCACCTCTCCTGGCTTGTTGTTACCATTAAAAAAGATAATAATCTAAATTTGCATAAGTAGAAAGGAAAATGCTTTAGATTATCAGGATACAGTAAAACCCACTCTTCTCATTTGACAGTTAAAACCCTTTCAATTGATTTTTATTTCCTCCTGTGAAACTGACACATTATTTAAAATATAAAAATCAGAATTTTCTTCCTATTATTAGTGGTATCTAATCTAGTCTATACATTCATTCAATAGGTATTTACTAAGCACCTATGATTTGGAAACAAATATAAACTGTATGTAAATCATATAATAAAAAACAGTATATATAGTCCCTGACCTCACAGACTTTTCAGGCACTCAGATGAATCCAACTGGTGATTTCACACATCATCACGGCATTTTTAAATTCCTTTAAATTATTGTAAAATGCCAATGAAGTATTTAAACACCTTATCAATAAACAACAAAATATACGGTACCTTCCTGAAATGGCTGTAGCCAGAATTCTCACTTTAAAAATTAAGAGAGTGGATCAACTATACTTCAATAAAATTTTTTTAAGTAAATAATAAAATAAATTAAAAGTTTTAAAAATTAAAAGTAAAAAAAGGGTGGAACAAAACTACGTTTAGCTTTCTACAGGATATAAAACTTACTACTTTTTTCTATGTTAGAAAAAAATTATAACTGCTTCTGGGGCAATGTGATAGAAACCCAAGTTTTGAAGTCAATAGGCCAGGGTTAAATTCTGATGTTTTCTAATTGTGGAGTTAATTACACCAATATTTATGAAGAGCTACCACCTGCTCAGTGCTAGGACTCCACGCTGAAACACACATGCTGACAAGTCTTTATCAGTAAAGAACTCACAACACAGAGGAGAAGTTGACTTATACACACAAAACAGACAAAATATCAAACACAATATAACCACCGAGTTTAAAACTGCCTCATACAATTGGTTACAGTGGTTCCAAAAAGTGGTAAACAGAGACTACAATCACATCACAAGAATTGAAGATGACTAGTGAGATCCGAGTTGGATTCTGAAATGAGATATATCACAGGGAAATAAGACAATCTGGATTATACAAACAGGTATTAATGAAAGTGGGAATTCACTTGGCACTAGATGGGTCATAAGGAAAACAATCTGCCAGAAGTAGAGCCTGCATGTAATAACGTCAGGGGATTGAGCCTGAGTCCCTAATAGTAACAGGGAACATACCACACTGGAGGTTCTTGAGAGTGGCAGTGACATGACAGAAAATGGTACTCAGGAACATTATTTGATATTCGAGCTGATATGGAAAAAATAAAGTCTGAAGGCAAGGAGAGGGTTATTGCAGCAGCCCAGGTACGAGGTGACAGAGGGCACAATCTACCGTAAAAGCACTGAGTGAGGGGACATTTGGGAGAAAAAGAGTGATACAGTGGACCTAGTGATGGATTGGACAAAGAGGACTGCTGAAGAGTCAGGAAATCATGACGGTTCCAGAATGAAATCGTGGTGATGCTGGGACGTGTTCCCTACCACGTTATAGTTAAGCCAGCTAGTGGAATTCATTCAGCTGTGCTTTTCTGGGGCTTTTACCAACCACTATGATAGGATGGAATTTTCACAGAAAACTCACAAATAGTGAAAAAGTGTCAAACTATTGCAAAAGAACCACAAGATCACAGTAGCAGTATTTACAAATACCGGGAGATACTCAAAGGCCACACACACTACAGATTCTGAAACGCAAGGTATTTTGGGAGAAGACATACCTCTAGTCCCTCTTTTGGTTCTGGGTCTAGGATAGAGACCGTGGTTCGGGTCTCTGTTTGTCCATCTTTGACCAAAGGGCTGGGTCACGGCCAAGTGACTGCGAGCCAGATGTTGGCAGTCGACGGCTGTAAGATGCTTCCGCTTAAACCGTCTCACTGTTTTGTATCAACAGGCAGAAGAAATGGGACACTTGTTAGTTATCACCAATTCTACAAGCTAGCCAGCAAGTTAACCTTAATCTTCAGGAATACAGTGGCTGTGGGCCACCCCAGCCAGCCCTTTCCCTCTTCCCCATATTCCCATCAACTTTCAGGCATTTTATAGTTTCTTTGCATCTCTTCCTTAGGATTTGAGAATCCTAAAATAAGATCCTAAAATAGCCTTCTTTTTCACCTATCACACTTTGTAGAAGCCCTGTTCATGAAATGCTCATTCAAAGAGAAGTTGCCACTAATGGATAAATGGAGATCTGGCAACTTTTCCTTGACTTTAGCCAGGCCATTTATACTATCATAATAACCATAAATATTTTAAGAGTTGGCTATAGCTTTTCAAAAAATATTCATGCATTGTCCCCTGTATACACCAGCTTCCCCAAGTCTGAGAAGCAAAAGGCACTAAGCGGACAGTCACAGATTTCCCACCCCTGCTGTACGTCTCTCCCCATGCACCCCACCCCACCCTGTGCACCCCTCTCGGCCCGGAGAGCATCTCAGCATCGGGCACTGATGTAAGAGGACAGGAGCAAGGCCCCCAAGTAGAAGAGAATCGACCCACTTTTCAGCATCTTCAGAGGAGGAAATTTCATATTTTCCCTAAGCAAAACACTACAGCACTGACTGTGCCTAGAATTCTGTCTCAAGAGTATTGAAATATTTTTGTTTATATTAGTCATTTTTCTGCCAGGTATTTTTTCATTCCTATTTCTGCATTTTATCGCATGTAAGATCTAACTACCTCCTTATGGCATTAAATAGAACAGTTACACTACTGTAAAACAGAATAGTTACACTTAAAAAAAAAAGAGAGAGGACAAGAACAGATACAAGAGAATTAAAGTGACCCTTTAGGGACTTCCCTGGTGGCGCAGTGGTTAAGAATCACCTGCCAGGGCTTCCCTGGTGGCACAGTGGTTGAGAGTCCGCCTGCCAATGCAGGGGACACGGGTTTGTCCCGTCTAGAGCCTGTGCTCCGCAATGGGAGAGGCCACAACAGTGAGAGACCCGCGTACCGCAAAAAATACCAAACAAACAAAACAAAAACAAAAACAAAAACAAAACAACAAAAAAAGAATCACCTGCCAATGCAGGGGAGATGGTTTTGATCACTGGTCCGGGAAGATCCCACATGCCACGGAACACCTAAGCCCACGCGCCACAACTACTGACCCTGCACTCCTGAGCCCGCGAGCCACAACTACTGAGCCCATGTGCCACAACTACTGAAGCCCAGTGCCTAGAGCCTGTGCTCTGCAGCAACAGAAGCCACCGAATGAGAAGCACAGCAACGAAGACCCAACACAGCCAAAAATAAATAACATAAATAAAAATAAATTTTAAAAAAATAAAATAAAAACGTGACCCTTTACAGGATATGGTCAACAGAGAAATCAGTTCCTGCCAGTACCGTATTTTCAGATGCCAAAAATACTCCAGTAAACTGTAGTATCAAATGCCAGAATCTCACTCAACATTTCCTGTAAGCCTGAAAACGTCTGAAACCAAGACACCACTGAGTATATCCGATACAGTTTATAATCTTAATAACTCCCCTCAGCCTTTAGCTTCTTCAGAAATGATCCTTCCAAATTTCAGTTTATTCTTTCAAGGTTTAACGGAAGTTTAAAAAAACTTCATGGATATTTCAAGACTTTTTAAAAATTACTTCTACACACAGAAATAGTTCTACAGGCCCCTCTGAAAGGACGCTAGAGACCTTTTCACTACCTGAATTCAGAATTAAGATGCAGTGGTATAACTCTTAAGTCATGAAGAAGTACTTAAAAATATGCTCAGCCGGGCTTCCCTCGTGGCACAGTGGTTGAGAATCCGCCTGCCGATGCAGGGGCCGTGGGTTCGAGCCCTGGTCCAGGAAGATCCCACATGCCGTGAAGCAGCTAAGCCCGTGTGCCACAACTACTAAGGCTGTGCTCTGGAGCCCATGAGCCACAACTACTGAAGCCCACGCGCCTGGAGCCCATGCTCCACAACAAGAGAAGCCACTGCAATGAGAAGCCCACGCACCGCAACGAAGAGTGGCCCCCGCTCGCCGCAACTAAAAGCCCACATGCAGCAAGGAAGACCCAACGCAGCCAAAAATAAATAAATAAATTTATTTTTAAAAAAGCTCAGCTGGATAAAAGCAGTGTCACATAGTGAGGGGACAGTGGACTTAAAAGGAAAAAAACTGGGTATGAGCCCTAAGCTGGCCACATAGTGGCCGGAGGATCCTTGGTCACTTAGCTTCTCTAAGACTCAGGGGCATTACAATGATTAAATGAGAAAACACACTCCAAAAGACTTGTTAAACTATAAAACCCTACACAAATATACACATCTGCTTACTGTGTTAAACAAAGCTTAGATGTGACTGATTTGCATAAAACATTGAAATAACTTTCAAATTATAAAGATGTCACCTAATGGCAAGACATGAAGTATATCAGCAGTCCAATTACAGCCTATTCTGTATTACTGGAAATACATTTTAAAAAGCCAAGGGACTTCCCTGGTGGTGCCGTGGGTGGGAGTCCACCTGTCGGTGCGGGGGACACGGGTTCGAGCCCTGGTCTGGGAAGATGCCACATGCCGCGGAGCAACTAAGCCCGTGCGCCACAACTACTGAGCCCGCGCACCTAGAGCCCGTGCTCTGCAGCGGGAGAGGCCACCGCAATGAGAAGCCCGTGCAACGCAACGAAGAGTAGCCCCCACTCCCCGCAACTAGGGAAAGCCAGCACACAGCGGCAAAGACCCAATGCAGCAAAAAATAAATTAATTAATTAAAAAAAAGCCAAGTCATATATCTTAATTACTTATTATGAACAGAAAACATCCCCTCCACTATAATGGATTTATAATTATTTTGTTGTTGAACATATTCCTCATACTTACAGAGGCAGAAAAAATGAATGTGCAGTTTTTCTATGTTAAAACAATAAATTTGAAATTTTTCCATATTAAAAAAAAAAAGCTTGAAGTCTGATTATTCTTTTTAAAAATAAGACACGAAAGTTTACCTCTTCTGCTCAAAATCCTTCATATTACAAAGCCAACAACCTAATTGCTATTTTGTCTGAATGGGGACCTCTGGGCTGACTGGCAGAAGAGATAAGGAAGCTACAATGGGCCCTGCAGAACAGAGTTGGCCCTTGGGATCCATGAGTTCCGCACCTGCAAGTTCCACCAACCGCAGATGAAAAACACCAACACGACCTGTGGTTGGCTGAATCCACGGATGTGGGATCCACAGGTCCCTGTCCACAGGGTGGACTCCGAGGGGCCTGAGCCCTCTCGGATTTTGGTGCCATGGGGGGGTCCTGGAACAAATTCCCTGCAGAAACCCTGGAACGACTATACTGACGAATCCTGGCCCCTAATTCAGGTGCTCCAAACACACCTGGGTCAACTACAGAAGCAGTTGAAGAATTCCAGCCAACAGACCCACTAACCCTGTAGATCCCAGATATGAGACTGATCTCTGCTTTCTCTTCAAACATTCCCAACTGTTTCAAAGCTGGCAAATACAGTGTCCAGAATTAAAACTGGAAACAGTCTAGAAAAATTATCAACAGAGAGTATCTTATTTAAAGAAGGTTCCATAGATAAAATCACAAACGAATAAGATTAACAGTATCAAACCCTCAAATTCATATGACCCAGGACCTTGGCGCTGGTACAGACCTGCAGGAAGCGTTCGGCTTCCAGAGTCCTGGTACCGCCCAGAGCGGTCCTGCATGAAGCCATCACAGAGCAAAGGCTAGCAGCTGGGGGCAGAGGTGCCCACACTGGGCCATCTGGCCTCTGGGTACCAGCACAGCCGCCTACGCTGTCCATCTGGAATGGTCCCCACAGCCCTGACTGCTCATCTGGGAGGCAGAGCTAGCACTTTTACGTTCTTACTTTTCTGACTTCAGTGAAAGGTCAGAAACCGAGACTATTCTTTCTGCCTCTCAGGTCTCTGAGAGATGAAGCACTGTGACTCACTGCACGGGGAGCTGGGGCCCCGTACCTGTCTCCGGAGTTAACAAGGCACTTAAGTCAAAAGCCGTGTGATGCACTCGGATCCGGAGCCGGAAGACCTCCTAACAGCCTTGGTTCCCTTCTCATCACAACGAGGACCCTGACAAGCTGCCATGCGGAGTTAACATCACGGTCATATGGTTTGAACCAGACAAGACAGGTGAAAGTACCTAGCGACACCCATGCAGAGGCTCACAAAGCCCAGCAGCTCAGAATTACATGTGGACCACACCATGCTGAGTCTCCTAAAAGATGCCTACATTTTAACAGCACCAATGTTCTTGTGAAGTTATTTAAAATTACTACAGTAAGGGCTTCCCTGGTGGCGCAGTGGTTGAGAGTCCGCCTGCCGATGCAGAGGACACGGGTTCGTGCCCCGGTCCAGGAAGATCCCACATGCCGCGGAGCGGCTGGGCCCGTGAGCCATGGCCGCTGAGCCTGCGCGTCCGGAGCCTGTGCTCCGCAACGGGAGAGGCCACAACAGTGAGAGGCCCGCGTACCGCAAAAAAAAAAAAAAAAAAAAATTACTACAGTAAAATTCTAACCACCTTCTGTTCTTGTTAATATACTTCTAAACCAGCAGCTCAAATATAACTTTATCAAAATAAAGATGCTCAAATGCTACTTCTTGCTTCCCTAAGTCCCCAAACCTCGTGTTGCTCCTCCGTCCCCTGAGCAGCAGGTGCCCTTTGCATCGCTCTCCACAGGCACTTACTATTAGAAGCTGCTCGCATTTCTTCAAGAAGCAAACTTAAAGTGGTCGGTGAGGAACGTGCACCGTTAAAGGGATGGAGGGAGACGACAACCAAACTACGTGAGGCCCCAGAGGCCCAGCAGAATCATCTCCAGGCCACAGTGGGTATCTGTGCCCTTGGAGACTCTACCACAGAAACCAACAGAAATGTGTCACAT